CAACGGAATGGCAATTCTTGAATTTAGAAAAAATTTATACTGAAAGCAGAGAACGGTCTTACGCATAACCTTTATGCACGAAGAAAGAACAGAATACTACTAGATGGTGAGAAGTTAACAAAATATAACCCTGATGGTCTGGGCTAATTATCAAGAATAGCAGCTTTCCGATTCCGTCTTAGATGGTATTCGCTTCCATAGCTTAGTATAGAGCAAAGTCAGGGATCTCAATGGGAGACACTTTAAGATGCTGCGCATGGTGTTTGGCTTGTTTGAAAAATTGAAATCCTGGCATGGTCATTTATCCACTTGTCAGTAGTTAGTTAGTCGGTCACGCCGACGATTCCTTGACAACAGATCCAGAATGTACTTTCTGTATTTCAAGTAGGACATTGTTTTCCACTAGCAATAGTAAGATGTGCAGGAAAGTATGAGCATGCCGAACATAGAAAATGACGAAATTAAGAAAAAATTATTCCTAGCGCATAATCCTGATGCTTCAGACTTAGACCATGCAGTAGCGCTCCAATTTCGCCAGTAATCATAACGTTTTAATTTCTGATACAGTTGCATACGCGCTTTTAGTCGTCTAGGTGATCCATTTAGCCAGGTCATGGTTCAGTGGTTTCTGAGCACCTGTGGTACATTGAATGCAGGACCACACTTCTGAGTTACCGGCGGAATTTAAGCTCCCTCGTACCAAATTCACGAGCCAAAGAGCATAATTCAAGTACGAGCAATTCAGCTTCTATTTAATGCCTTTGATTCAATAATATCAATTAAGATAGGCGCTACCATTCCTGGTTCTGCTCTCGACTGAAACATGGAGTCAACTACCAATTGAGTCGAAATGCGTTGAAGTTATTTTAATGCCGCGTATTAAATAGTACCGCCGCTAAAGACACATCTTCAAGTGCTTTTTGACGAATTTGCGATGAATTTGCAAAGATTTTTGAAATCCTGTGACTCAAAGCTCTGACCTTCGCTTTTAACTGAACAAATTGATTTTAAGCAATTCGATCGGTTCTGCATAATAGCAGTAGTTATAATCGAAATGATATCAATAAATATTTTCAAACAGTTTGAGTTAGTAGAAACACAATAGCCAGACAGTCAGCTAGTGGTTCAATGTCCGCTTAGCTTTTCTGGTCACGATGGCAAATTCGCCCGTCAATGTCTCCAACGTTTCCACGCCAGTGTTGAGCATTGACAGAAGACAACTCGAGTCTGATGCAGAGCCGTTCGAAATACTTGGTCCTGATTATTCTGCTCCAAGGTCTCCGGCCAGTTTTGCC